GGACCTTACAACAGTCAGATGCAAAGGCCCTAGGCCACATGCTGAAACAACCTGGCACAGGATGTATAGGGGGCAGAGAAGGGCAGGGCAGTGGCCTTCACAGGCTGAACAGTATGCTCCCACCCCCAACCCCATCCTCAGGAAGCTCACAGGAATATCTCGGAGAGCTTGGTTCTCGGCTTTCGGTCTCCCTTTTTTCTTCCCTTCAGTCCTGTCATTGGCTGGGTTTCCAGGATCAAAGCAGAGTGAGGCCTGGCTCGGCACTGTGTGTCCACTGTGTACCACCGGCATACCTACAGCACAGGAGACAACAAAGTTCAGTGGCTGTATAACACCAGCAACTCCCAAGGGGCCGCAAGCCCTGACTGAATCTTGGCTTACTCACACCAAGGCCCAGGACAAGAGCCTAAGCCTCAGGCTGTCTAACAATCTCTACTCCATAAAGGTCCTCAGGATACCCAAGGAAGTAGCCTACTTTACCGCCGGCTCTCCATATCCTCTAGAATTGATTTCTGCCCTAGCTCCTCACCCAGCTTTGGTGGGTCCTGCAACATGGGAAGCTGGACCTCCTTCCGGCTGCCACCCTTTCCAGATCCACTTCTGCTGGACCCTTGAAGCCGGCGGCCTCCTCCAACACAGAAGGATTCAGTCATTTCTGTAAAGCAAGCGCACAGACCTATGAGCTGAATGGGCCGGACCTAGGACTCTAGCCCTGGCCTTCTTTATATGTCACGTCAAAAAGCAAGTACCAGGAGCTTCTAACTAAGGGAAGGGGTTTGTACAGACAAGGCCTCTCCAGATAACTCAGAAGGCATGAGCATTGTGGAAAGAGTCGAGACTCTCACTACATTGGATACACTCGCCGCACCCTCATCTAGACACAGTACCACACTGTGTTCGGAAAGGGCCTATGCGATAGGAAGGAGGCTGATAATATTCCTCTTGGGGGACAATCAACACCAGTAATGGTTGCTGGCTCAAAAGCAGCCATGCCATGATGCCTTAGGGACACCTTCTCCTCAGGGTCCTGGCCCCTGCCCATTCAGACATCGTGTGATACTAACTTATGCAGATGGGCACCCTTGAAGACCTCTCTATGGACACAGAAACAGCCAACGTGGGTGTTGAAGGCCCGCTTCCCCACCACGTGCACCCCATCTCTCTGGTGTGCAAAGTTAAGACTCACTGGAGCTCCACTTTGGTCTCCATGCTTTCTGAGCCACGCTACCTGCCTGTTTTCTCAGCCTTCTGTATAGTCAGGGCTCCTCCACCCAGATGATGGCACTGGTTCAGACCCTAAGCCACCACAGTCCAGCAGGCCACCATTTCCTGCTGTTCTCAACATCTTCTAAATTCCTAGCCTAGGAACCCACTTCAGCTAAAGGAGCTATGGCCAATACTGGCCCAAGCTCCAGAGCCTGCCAGGCTGAAGTCACAGAACATGCCCGCGGGGCGATGGGGTGGGAGGCGTCTCACACTCCCCACTCCCGCTCAGATGTCCCAATCCTGGAACATCTCATACCCTGAAAACTGAGGTGGGGGGCGCTGAGCATAGCCATGTGGAGGCTTCTGGGAGGCACCTAAAGCCACAGAAGGGGGCGGTACCAAAGAGCAAGGTTCAAGCAGGTGAGCCCTCTCCTGACAGTTTTTTATTAACTCAAATCAGAGGGGATGTATAGGGGCTGCGATATCCAGGAGCGCTCAGGTTAGAGGTCAGGACAGTCACTGTCCACTGCCAAGGACAACACCCCATCCTGAGCCTAGGTAGAAGGGAAGGAAGGGTCTTATATCAACCAAAGTTCTCTGAGTGTCCTCGTTTTGTAAGCTTCAGAAGGAAACGAGTCATTCAGAATCCTGATAACATTTAAGGCCAAGGGTAAAGGGCATGCTGCACCCTTCCAGTCCTTCAGTGCTTGAGCTGAGATCAGTTAGGGGTGAGGCATGGTCGCCAGAGAAGGAGAAAAAAAAAATCCCTCCACCACCTGGGGTCCCCAGGTCCTCGCTTGTAGCCTACAGGGAATAGGGCGCCGCCGCGGACTCAGGCCACTCGCCTAGCCTGGCGAGCGCTGCCAAGAGGAGCACCTGAAGGCCCGTGGCCACCCACCTGTCACCTGAGGCCGGACACGGACTGCAGCCTGGCCCGGAAGCGCCGACCGCGGGGGGGCGAAGGCAGTGAACCAA